TGAATATTGTGGGACTGTTGTCACATTTGCTTGGACCCTTGTGTAGTTACTGTAAAATTTTTACGATGATATAGAAAACTACCGTTTCGATAAAAAAAAAAAATGTTTATAGATCAATAATATTTGATAGAGAGTTTTGATAGCAGTCACGGGCATGCGGTATAGGATAACACAGCTATCTTTGTCAATCACTTGATAAGACTGAAATCTTTGGCACTCTTATAATCAAGGGTTAATCATATTTTATCCCCTTAAAAAATATCTCATTTATCAGTTTACCCCCTAACCTTTAATTTTGCCCACTTAACCCCCTTTAAGACAAAATTGCCCTTGCATTATTTTGACTTTTTATTTACCTTGTTTTCTTTTCTTTTATTTCTTTTTCTCTTTCTTCTTTATTTAATTCTTCCTCTTTTCCACAAAAATTTTCACCTTAATGATTGAAATTAAAAAAGAGGAATTGGAGAGATCTATCTTCTCCTTAAATGATTAGAAAAAATATTCAAATCACTTTCCTAAAATACAATTTTTTTTAACCTTTCAATTTTTTAATTTTGGGTTTTCCTCTTTCCTTTCTAGTTTCTCATTTTATTCTCAAGAAAATATCAAAAGATGATATTGTTTTCCTTTATTTTATTTCTTTTTCTCTTTCTTCTCTCTTTCATCCTTCCCAATAGAAATTACATTTCAACGAAAATTTTTGTTTTGAGTTTGTAATTGCATATTTTTGGGTGAAGATTTAAAAGGTATCAAAAATTAATTTTAATTTTTTGTATAATGTCATATGTCACAAATTTCAATTGATGATTATTAATCAGGTCATAATTTCGTCTTAAAATATTTCCTTGGAAAAGGGAATGCCCCGCCACTCGGCTTTTTTTCCTTTGTTGTGGCGAAAGTACTTTCAGGGCTCTTTGTGAGATGGGCTCTTATGTGGGCCAGGGCCAGGGCCGGGAGAAATTGTTTCCGTCCATTCTTACATTCGTACGATTTGTTTATTGTGATTGTTATTTTCAGGCCAAATGGCGGAAAATGTGATCAAATTATCGCCTTTTATCTCTCTCTGTCACCCAACCTTTTTCTTAGTAAAAAATGTCACTTAACTTTTTTTTTAATCCTCAGTAAAAAGTGTCACCCAACTATTAAAAACAACGCAACTTCTTGCTCATCCTATTAAATTTAGGCCATGTATGCTACTGGAAAATCGCATGCATGATGTGCCCAAAGAGCTCCAGGACAAAATAGTCAGAGTCTAAAAAAATAATAATAATAATAATTCCTAAAAGCACAGAAATGATGATATCAGCTTCTCCTAACTTCTAGCTTTCTCCCTGTGGAACAATAAAAATCCTAAAAGCACAAATAATCTCCGGTAGCTTGGGTGACGTCCACAGAGAACATACAAGAGCAGGTTGGGTGAATTGTATTCTAGTCAGTTCAGGTGAAGATTTTAGCATCATTAGGTATCGTGCAAATGGCCCAATTTTGGGAGTGAGAGCCTTTGTTGGAAAAAAAAAAAAAAAAAAAAGGTATAAGTTTGGGACTTCTATGTATTTTAGTTATAGTTCTTGATCCTTTAATGTAACTACTTTTGACACTGAGAATATTGTTCATTTTTCAAAATTGTCCCATTTTTACCCTTCAATGGTCTCTCGTGCAAGTCACGTGTGTGACTTTCCCATGGCTTTGATGCACAAACTTAACGTAATTACTGACAAGTTATCTTTAAATAGTTGAGTGATATTTTTAGTTAACAAAAAAGTTAAATGACATTTTTTAGCTACAAAAAAAGTTGTGTGACATTTTTAGCGACAAAAATAACTAAGTGATGAAAAGCGATAAAAGCAATAGTTGGACGACATTTTTCTCCATTCACTCTATTCACGGCTGGCATTTTATGCCAAATACGAAAGTTTGAAAACTATTTTATTGCTTGGAGCATGTTAGGAAACACTTTTGTTCAGCACTTTGTGCTTTAGCAATAAAGTTGTATTGTTTATACGTTCTACATCTAAAAGTATTAGAGGATACTGTTACCACGTCAGAATGTACGTATCACTAGTATTTTTCATTCTTTCTTCTTCTGTAAGTTTGCCCTATAATAATGTTTATATATTACAGGGCTAGCTAGGAACTCAAGGTATTGGATGAAGATAACTGATGGGCTCGTAGCTTCTGCATTGATACAATAGAAAACCTTAATTATCTCTCAAAATTCTATCACGTTTATCTGTATTTGCCCTCCGCAAGACTACAACGAGTGGGTATAAAAGAGAAACGAACAATAAGTTGGGTTTTCAGAATGTTGAATGCAAGCCACAAGTTCCATAAACTGAAAATGCGAACTGTTTTTAAGGTTATCTCTGATTATGTAGTAGGAGGATGCCGACAGACAATAGTGAAAATCAAGTGACATTAAGTAAAAGCACAGAAAACGAGGAAAATCACAACATCCAAGTAAAACCATCCGACATGGTAACTGCACTAGGAAGCTACTACATTCAAGGCTCCATCTCAAACTTTTGTTTCATGTTATCAACTACACATTTAGATAAGAAGGTTCCATCCCAAACTTTGTTTCTTGTGATGCGAGCCATGTACATTTAGAAGTGTACAATGTCACATCAAATTACCACTTGGACCCGTATGAGCATTTCTAGCTCTATCGGCCCTTTATATCTTATCTTCGCTGGTTAGAAAGGGACAGCCCTTTCACTCAGCTCCAAGCTTCTTTCTTTCGCACGCTTTTATTGTGGCGAAAGTAGTTTTAGGGATCTTTGTGACATTGGCTCTTATGCGGGCCACAAGAAATTGATTTCAGGCATTTTAACATTTGCAAGATTTGTTTATTGTGATTGTTGAATTCATGGCTGGCATTTTATGTCAAATACCAAAGTTTTAAGGCTATTTCATAGCATAGAGCATCTTAGGAAACAATTTTGTTGTTTAGGCACATTGTTGTTTAGCAATAAAGTTGCATCATCTAAATATATTATAGGATATAGTTACCAATTCAGAAACTGCATCTCCTGCGGATATCACTATTTTTCATTCTCTCTGCTTCTGTGGACTGGCCCTATAATGTTCATAAATTACAGAGCCAGGATCCCACGGTATCGGATGAAGATAGCTGATGAGCTCATAGCTCCTGCATTTGTACAACAAAAAGCCCTAATTAACTCTCAAAATGTATCACGTTTATCTATATTTGCCATCAGCACGACTCTAATGAGTGGATGTAAAAGAGAAACAAACTAGGAGTGTGTTGGATGCTAACTACAAGTTCCATGAATGATCTTGCATAAACAGAAAATATGATTTGTTTTTAAGGTTGTCTTTCATTATGTAGTAGGAGGATAGTGGACAGACAATAGTCAAAACAGCTGACACCAATGACTAGTTTGGCAAAAGGGAAAAAAAGAGAGAAAGTTTAAGTTGGAAAAGAAAAGAATAGAATAGCAAATATTGTAATTTTTTTTCATGTTGTTTGGGAGCTTTTGGAAATAAAGAGAATAAAATGATTCTTCTTTATTTGAGAGTGGAGAGAAGTAAAAGGAAAATATTTAACATAAGTGCCCTTAAAACTTGAAATTCACATGACATCACAAAACATTATATTAAAATACGAGTAAATCTTATATGCACTAATAATGTATCCACTATCACCATTAGATCTATGACATATGTATAAATGTTGAATTTCAAATTCAAATTTTATATAGTTATTATTTATTCAGCTACTAACAGTTTTGGACTGACCATGTTGGACTAACAGTATTTTGTAGTTTGAAAGAAACGTGAGATCCCTCCTTTTATTTCTATTCTTTTCCTAAAAATACTCCTAAATGCCAGAAATATCCTACTTTCTTTCTTACTCCTTTCTTTTCTCACCAAATTTGTCCTCCCAAAGGGGCTATTTAAGTAGAAGGATAGAAATCGAGGAGAAATCACAACATCCAAGTTAAATAATTGCATGTGGTAACTGCACTAGGACCGAGAGGTCACGAGTTCGAGCCTCCGCTCTGCTGGATTCCTCCGCGCACTTAACGTGCTAGGGTCGGGTTGGGGCGCCGGGCCCGGGCCGCAGGGGATTAGTCGGGCCCCGTAAGGATTGACCCGGACACCCCTGTGTCGAAAAAAAAAAAAAAAAAAAAAAAAAACTGCACTAGAAAGCTATCACATTTGGATAAGGTTCCATGTCAAACTTTGTTTCATGTTATGCGAGCTATGTACACTTAGATTAGTAGGAATATCAACTCCCTTGCGCTACAAGTTTCACTTCATTGCTTCAACTTAATATTTTTCTTATTCAAGACCTACAACTATCAATGTGTAAGATAATAGAACGTGATTTAATTGGTAAAACACACACTTTATTCGTAAATGAGGGGTCACGAATTTGAGTCATCAAGAAGTTAATTAACTTTAATTCTGTTTTTTTTTTAAAAAAGAGTTAATATCAATGTGTGCCTTTATACAATGATTTTTTGTGAAACATAACGTCTTCAATCTCGACGTTGGTGTTGGGCTTGTGTTCTACAGCTAACAAAATTGATGGTAATAACCAGCTCGATTAGTGTTGCGCTTGTGTTCCAGCTCTATAGCTAACAAAATTGATAATAATAACCAGCACTCAATATCTACTGGACATGACATGTATTTAAATCTGATTCATTTTTTCCTAACCTTTTCTTTTGCAGCTCGAAGCAAAAAAAAAGTATGGTGTTTTTATTCTTACCACTAGTATTTGTAGCTCGTGATGCATATGGTCTATTTCTATCTCTTACCTTAATCAAGCACTCGCCAAAAAAAAAAAAAAAAAAAAAAAAAAAAAAAAAAACTTAGTCACCAATGTCGGCCAGAAAGCCAGCCGTTTGCCTCCTCGAAAGCTCTGAAATTTTAGGCATACTTGTTTAGGTTATTTCTTTTTTAGAACTAGGAAACCATGTAGTTAAATGATGCATCAAAATCAAAAATTTTTTTCTAATGCTTAAACTTTTTCCCCAGAAGAAGATGCTTTTTTCGCTACTGGTGCCTTCAAGCCTAACCCGAGGCACCCTTATGTGGATTTGTCAGGTACATGATCAATCCCCAATACATACGCTTCAATATGGTACTAAAAGCGCAAGTGTATCGTTTATGATGATTGAAAATGGTGGTTGGTTTCTTACAGGGAGGCGGTTTCGCGTAGGGAGCATAGGAGGATCAAAAGTCTTTTATGCAAGATGTGGAGTGGGAATGGTAGGTTCATTTCACATCCTTCTGGTCTGGTTATTACAGACAGTTGCTTGTAATGAATTTTTGGCAATAATGAATTTTTCTATTTCGGCCATTGTGTTTTTCTGTTAAGTACTACTACCTCAAGAAATGTCTAATTGTGGTACACTCAGGTGAATGCTGCAGCAGCAACACAACAGATGTTGGATGTCTTTCGCATGATTGGAATTGTCCACTTTGGCATTGCAGGCAATGCTAACAGTTCCATGTCCATAGGAGATGTCATCATCCCTAAGCAGTTTGCTCAAACAGGGTTATGGGACTGGCTGGTAATAATCATTTGGCTCATTTCCTGCCTCAGTAAATGCAGACTACGAGTTTATTTGCGTACAATCTCTTCATTTTGCAGAAATTCAAGGCAACAATACCAGCAAATGATGTTACGGAATTGGACTTTGGAAGCTATGATGTTCCCAATGGAGGAGACAATGAGTTGGGCAGCATTGGGTATTCGACAGAGTTCTTCTACTCTAAGTCAGGAAAGCCTAATTCTCCTGAAAGAACACTTTGGTTTCAGACAAGTCAGAATTGGCTAGAAGTATCTTCTAGTCTGGAGGTGAGTTACTTATCGCTAATATGTAACATCCTCCTTCGCTTTGCAGCCAGCTAATTGCTGCTGCCTAAAACACTTTTTTTTTCCCTTGAGTTGTCTTCAACTAGCCCTTGAATCTAATGGATGCATTTTCACTAATACAGGGGATGGCGCTGGAACAGTGCGTGAACGCGAGCTTGTGCCTTCCTGAAAAGCCCAAGGTAGTTGTTGGACTGAATGGCGCAACTGCCAACATTTTTGTGGACAATGCAGCTTACAGGGAGTTCCTCTACACAACCTTTCATGTTTCATCACTTGATATGGAGAGTGCAGCCATAGTCATGGTAAACGCCTCGCACCAAAACTAATCTGAAGAATATATCTGCTTAGAAACAAGGGGGTTCATAATTACTAGTCAAGATAACTTGTTATATTCATGTTTTCTGGAATTGCAGACATGTTTATCCAATGGCTTCAAGGTAATTGTCATACGAGCACTATCAGATTTAGCTGGAGCACAAGATGGAGACAATACCATTCGTCTGTTTGGCCCTCTTGCAGCATCAAATGTAGCCAAGGCTGTTGTCCAATTTGGGAAGACATTGCGAGGATTTCACTTTCAACAGTCTATTTAGCCGTAACAGAGATTCAAGTTAATCAAGAGGAGTCAAGAACTCATTTGCTAATAATTGGTTTAACAAAGAAACTAAACTAGACAGACTTCGATGTGCACTGAAGGCTTTTTGGAATAAACATGTACCATCAAAGCGTTTTCTCGCATTTCGAATAAGAATTTCATGCCCTTCCTCCAAGGCCAATCTTGGGTGAAGCATTGTTCTGTGTTTCTTTCATATTGAGAGATCTTGAAAGTAACAGGTATTATGCTTACATTTGTAACTGAAACCTTCACAACTAAATATTTCTAGGACCATGATTATGTACTCCAACTAGAAAAAAGAATGAATGCGAAATTTACACAAGTATTTATGAACTACATTACAAAGAAATCAAATTTTAAATGAAATTTACAAGTTACTTATGGCATGTATAGATCAATATTTGATAAAAGTTTCATAGCAGTCACGGGCAAGCGGCTTGATAAGATTAAAATATTCAGCATCCTCATAATCAAACGCATATTGGTGTGGAAAATTGTCAACCAAAACCAAGATTATACGATCAAGGTTTTCATAGTCTGTTGTTGACCTTCTTTAGCAGTTTAATTCAGATGGTTCAACATTACTAGGGTTTCTCACTCTTGTTTTTTCACCCTTCCTGTGTAGGCCTACAATTGTTGTTGTACATCTGGTCATCGGTTTTCCAATTTTGATGCCATATGGAAACCAAAGTTGGAGTTTTTTTCATATGGAAAACTAACAAAGTAGGGAAATTATGAAAGGGATTTTCTAATTTAAGTTAAAAATAGTGAAATTAAAAATAAGTGCATACATTTGGTTGGTTTAATTTCATGTAATTTAGTTAATTTTTGTGCAACTAAAATTTGTAAAATGAATTCCTTTTTATTTAGGGTTATTATCACTTTACTTTACCTCCCTCAACATTAGGTGTTACTATCAATTTCCCTCTTAACATTATTTTTTAGTCATTTTATCCTCAAGATTAATGGTCAAACTTAATGAAATTATTAATCTAAGTGATAAGACATGTTTAACCTTTAAAATTATTATCACTTTACCTCCATAAACTATAATCTTGTTATCAATTTATTCTACCATTAAACCAGCTTAACAAGTTAAAAAAACTTTAGAAAATAGCAGCCTCTTTTTTATATAACAAAAATAATAAAAAATTTAGAGTGGTTTTTCTCCTTTTTAATATTAAGAAAAAAAGTCAAAGCATTAATCTCTTTTATCTTGACAATCTTATTAATATTAAAAAAAAAGAAAAATAGCGGAGGAAAAGAGAGAGAGAGAGAGAGAGCACAATTCTTTTTTTAATACAAATAAGAAAGAATTCAATATTTTTATTATTTTAAAATTACTTTTACTTTTCTATTTATTACCCAATTCCAATCCTAATTTCAAAAATATTAAAACAATACGATAATATTATATTCTTCCTTATTTTTTTTCTTTGCAAAATCTAATTTTTTGACTCCTTCTGTCCTATCTCCTTTTCTTTTCTTAGTATTAATAAGTGTGAAAAAAGAAATTTGAAGAAACCCTTTTATTGTTATGTTTTTGGAATCTTAGAGTGGAAAAAAGGAAGAATAATTATTCCAATTTTTTATTTTTAATTATATATAAAAAAGATAAATACATTTAACAATTTTTGAACATACTTTTTAGATTAATGATAGGGTAAAATATATAGAAAATAATGTTAGAAAGTAAAACGATTATATCACCATAATTTAAAGGGATAAAGTGATAACAACAATGCAGTAATGTTGTAAAATGAAAAGATATGACTAAAAGATAACATTATGGGATAAATTAACAGTAATGATATAGTTTAAGAGGTAAAGTGATAATAACCCTTTTATTTATCTTTTTATTTCTCATACTATTACTTAAACATCTCTCTTGACTGCATTTGCATGTACAAATTATATCTTCCGTAAAAAAGACAAAAAAAAGTAAGCTTTCAAAAAACTATTTTTAATTTCTCTTTAAAGCATGAATAAGAGTGGTTAGTTTGACAAGTTACCATTACAATTAGTACGGATTCCGAAGAAAAAGAATAAAAAACTTTTCATTTAATTCCACACCCAAAAATTAATTAGTAATAAAAGAAGAGCCCCTCTTCAACTTTGTTCAACTCCCTTTTGATTAACATGCTAACATATTAACTGAGTTTAATTCATACTCTGTAATCTTCTGCATAACGAAGGCAGGGAAAACTTAGAGCCCGAATCTGCCTGCGGATGATCCATGGCGCTATCTAGGCTCCGAAATCCGGTGATCTCTCGAGCACCTTCCCTTCTCCGAGCTCAGCTTTTCTCTTCCACCTGCCGATCCCTCCCTCGGTAAAAACTCGCATCATCTGCTTCCTCTCTAACTCGCTTTGCCGGGGCTCTCAGAATTGTGTGTAATTCATTTTAATGTCTAATTGAATTTTATTCATTTTCATCGGTAGATTGTCAGAGTCAGGAGCTTAGCACATTTGTCAAACAAGAAAGATATTATTGAAAATGAGAGTTGAAAATTTTGGAACTCGGATTTGCTTAGAAGATTAGGAATTGTTTATGGATTGAAGAAGAAAGCTTGAATCATTTAGTACCTGACTTTTTCATCCTCATTTAATTTGTGGTAGAGGATTATCATGCGCAGTTTGTTTGGCAATTTGTTATTGCCTTCGATTAATGTCAGAACTTAAGAAATGTAATGCATGGGCATATCTTGCTTTATTAGAGCAATTTCTTGAATTTAGACTTGCTCTGATATTCATGGACGATGTTGCAGTTGAACAGTTAAAGGTATATGAATAAGTATTTAAAAATAGTTGATTTTCTAATAAAATTTGGATGGCTTTCAGCCTAAAAAAAACATCCGTATGGCTCTAGAAAAAGAATTTGTGAGAAACATAGTTATGATACGCGAAGATTGTTAGATACGGGAAACTGCAGTTGTCGCAGTTGGGAAGTTCATTACATTTTGGATAGTCCGTTCTGTACTGTTCTTAGTGAAATGCATGTACAGCAGAAAAAAATAAATGCCACCTCGAACTGTGTTTTACTCCTTTAAACATAAAGGAAGAAAGGGGATGTGAGTCTGAGGCTAGCATGTTTGGGGGGATGTGTGTCTCTTTGTGTGTATGTGTGTGAGAGAGAGAGAGATAACGGACCCATACAGCAAATTCTTGGAGCGAATGTGGTCGATAAATTAGAGAAGAAAATCGAACCAAAAGAAAAGGGTCGTTTTCCACATCTTGGATTTCTATAAAGCCTAACCCATTTTGGGTAGGTCACGACTCACAAGACATGGCCACAAAATATTTGCTGTACAACAATTGTTGTTACATCCACAAGAGTGGCGTATGCAAATCTTCGACGTCTATAGCGGGGTGACAGAACTTGGCTTTTTTTGTCCAGTGGCGAAAGTGCTTTCAGGGCTCCGTGTGAGATGGGCTCTAATGCGGGCCAGGGCCAGGAGAAATTGTTTCCGTCCATTCTTACATTTGTCCGATTTGTTTGTTGTGATTGTTATTTTCAGGCCTAGTGGTGCAATATGTGATCAAATTATTACCATTTATCTCTCTCTGTCACCCAACTTTTTTCTTAGTAAAAAATGTCACTTAACTTTTTATTTATCCTCAGTAAAAAGTGTCACCCAACTATTAAAAACAACGCAACTTCTTGGCCATCCTATTATATTTAGGCCATATATGCTACCAGAAAATCGCATGCATGATATGCGCAAAGAGCTCCAAGGACAAAAAAAATCACAGGATATTGTTACCACGTCAAAAAGTATATATCACTATTTTTCATCCTTTCTTCTTCTGTAAGTTTGCCCTATAATGTTCATATATTACAGGGCTAGCTAGGAACTCAAGGTATTGAAGTAAAACAATTCGATATGGTAATTGCGCTAGGAAGCTTCTACATTTCGATAAGGTTCCTTGTCAAACTTTGTTTCGTGTTACGCGAGCTATGTGCACTTAGATTAGTATGAATATCAACTACCTTGCACTACAAGTTTCACTCTATTGCTTCAACTTAATATTTTTCACTGTGTAAGATAATGGAACGTGATTTAATTGGTAAAACATACATTTTATTCGTAACTGAGGGGTCACGAATTTGAGTCATCAAGGAGTTAAATAACTTTAATTCTTTTTTTTTTTTTTTTTAAAAAAGAGTACTTACCAATTAACTAATGTCAATGTGCCTTCATACAATGCTTTTTTGTGAAACATAACATCTTCAATCTCCACGTTGGTGTTGGGCTTGTGTTCTTAGCTAACAAACTTGATAATAATAACCAGCTCGGAACAAGCACTTAATATCTACTGGACGTGACACGTATTTAAATCTGATTAATTTATTCTTGTTCTTTTCTTTTACAGCTCAAAGCAAAAAAAAAAAAAAATTGGTGTTTTTGTTCTTATCACTAGTATTTATAGCGCGTGATGCATATGGCGTATCTCTATCTCCTACCTTAATCAATCATTCACCCAAAAATAAAAAAAAAAAATCCTTAGTCATCAATCATCGGTCAGAAAGCCATCCGTTTGCTTTCTCGAAAGCTCTGAAATTTTAGGCATACTTGTTAGTTTTTTGTTTTTTTTTTTTTAGAACTAGGAAACCATGTAGTTAAATGATGCATCAAAATCAAATTTTTTTTTCTAATATTGCTTAAACTTTTAACAACACAATTCGATCCATGTTTAAGGAAGCATGTCTGACAGGGGCGGAGCCAGAAAAAAATCTTAGTGGGGGCACAAATAATACTAAAATTTTTTATCTACTCTTTTTTTAATTTTTTGAGCAAAAAATAAATAAATTCACTAACAAGTACAATTGATATGTATATTCCATGAAAAAACATAAAAAGACAAACTCAAAATTATTAATGTAATAATAATTTTATTTAAAAACTTCTTTTATTGTCATTTTTTGCACCTTCATTATCCTTGGCTTCTTCTTTATTAGATGGCTCTTTTTCCATTGATTTCCTCTTGAAATATCTCTCCATAGCTAAAGAAATTAAAATCAATATATAAGATACTAATCCAATTAAAATATTAAATGTACAATAAAATCTAATAATCTATCCAAGAACTATTTTACAAGTTAAAGTTATTTATTAAATCATTAATCACAACATATCATTACTATATCAAATCACAACTTATTCATTCATTACTATATCAAATCATTAATCAGAATATATGAACCTAATCAAGTTAATTAGACAAAAGGATCCATATAAGAATAATTTAAAAGTTAAAATAAATGTCAAATGGCCCTCTATTCATCATTACATTAACTCCAAATAAGAAACTAATCATGGAAAATAAAAAATAAATTATAAATCTATAAAATCACCATTTCACAAGTTAAAATATTTATCAAATATCAAATAACCCATTTATTAGTTATTACATTAACTAATCAATTTTCAAATTTCTCTAAAACAGTAATAATCTCATGCTCTAGAAATATATTTGCAAACAAATTTAAAATAATAATAATAAGAAGTAATTGTTTAAAACCTGATTTCAATGGTCTCCCAAAATTGGTGAAAAGAGTTGCAAATCAGTGGCACTGTGGCAGACTTAGGTCCCTTTACTTCCTTTGTGCCCCGTATCACGTTATTTAATTGGAAAGAAGTCAGCTTCAAGGACTGGTTTCTTGCGGTTGAACTGAAGAAAGCAGGTCTTGGTTTTCAAAAAGCCTACTCCTTTAATGGAACACTGTTTGAAGTAGTCAACAACACCATTTTCATGACAGGAAAACCAGGATCGGACTATTTGATGGGAGAGACCATTTTCAGTGGGGACAACCAAGAGGCAAAAGAGGAAAAGAAAATTGGGGAATGGGGACAAAGGAAGTAAATGATTAATGATGATTGGATGAAGTAATAAAAAAAAAAGAATGGTTAGTTGGGTGTGGAAGAAGAGGAGTCGTGGGTTGTGAAGTGAAATGGGGGACCACAGGAGTAAAGGGAATTTGGAGAGTGGGGACCAAAAGTAATGACTGATATAATTGATATTTGGTCCTTAGAGGAGGAAAGTGAATGATATAAATTTTGTGACCCATTCTTTTATATTTTTTTAAAAAAATTCGGGGGGCACCAGTAAAATTGTATCAAAATTATAGGAGTATTATAGGAATTTAAGGAGGGCAGTGGGGCCGTGCCCCCAGTGCCCCCACTGTAAATCCGCCCCTGATGTCTGAGATTACAGTATGGCTGGTTGCAAAGAACATGAAATGATATCCATATTATGGCTTGTAAGTAATGATATCTGATGATCGAGGAAGTGCCACAACTGGTGGACCTTAATTCTTGTGAAAATAATTGAAATGTTGGACCACATTATTGATTACTGACTTTAACGGTATACAATCAAGAACAGCGAGTTAATTTGGCCCCGGAAACATAATTTGGAAAGCGACAATATTAATAACGCAGGAGAGAATATGGTTTGTGGCGAAAAGTTAAAGAGTGTATTTACAGATGGTAGCTGGCAAATCTTACCGCAATTTGTGCTATAAATAGGCACCATGCAGTCGAGTTGAGAGAGCAAGGAGATTAGGAGAGCGAGAGAAGTAGCATAAAATGGCTGGAAAACAAATGAAATTGCTTTTACTGGTTTCAGCTGTGATTTCTTCTCTAGCGGTCAATGTTTTAGCCACTCCTTTGCCTCGGGCAATCGAGCAGGTGCCTTCTCTTGGTCTTATCTCCTCTGATAGCGGCAATCAGGAGACACCCTTTTCTGGTGCCTTCAAGCCTGATCCAGAACTCCCCTACGTGGATTTCTTAGGCAAATATCTATATATATTTCCCGTGCATTAAATCTGCTTCGCAACCATTAATTATTCCTACTACTGTTTTTTTTTCTTCCTCATAATAATGATCGAAATTCGTTGCTGACTTTTAATCTCCTAATAATTTATTTCATTGCAGGCAGGCGTTATCACATCGGGACCATAGGGTCTAATGATGTCATTATCGTCGGATGTGGAACTGGACTGGTAAGCGTGATTGAGTTCCAATAGGTCCCAGTTTCTAGTTTTGCCGCCCGTCGTTAGTTTGGGAGCTTTTGTACAAGTAAAAAAGGTTTCAATAATTTTGCTTGGATTGAATTAATCAGGTGAATGCTGCAGCAACGACCCAAGTACTGTTGGACTTCTTCAAAATTAGAGCAGTTATACACTTTGGCACTGCGGGCGGCGCCGACAGTTCCCTGTCCGTGGGAGATGTTGTCATCCCAATGCAGTTTTCTCAAACTGGAATATGGGACTGGCTGGTAATATTAATTCTTTTGTTTCTTTTTTTTTTTTCCCTTAAAGGTAAAACCTAAAGTTTCATAAAGCGCACACAATCAGTGCCAACTGCCAACAATTCAGTCAGTATCACTAAGAATTCGAATCACTACACTCAACTTGACAAAAGAACCGTGGAAACAAAACATTGAAGTAGGAGATTTTGGAATTATGATCTCTCGCTTACCAAAAAAAGAAAGAAAGAAAAAAAAAAAGCGAAAAATGTGCTAATTACTGAAATTCGCAAGCAAGGCTTTTGAACCAGTTGCCTTTTGGATTTGGATGGTGCTTTTCTCCTCCCTCCGTATGCAGTAGACAGCAGCTCCAATTAATGGAAAGCCTAAATACCTGATGGTGCAATTGAATTCCTCGTTTTCTTTATTTATTTATGTTTTTGTGAAGTGGACATAATTTTAGTCCTTTCCTTGCTTCAAAATTATTCTACGTGTTCTTTTTTTTTTTTTTCCAATATTCGAGGAATTGCATTTTTGCATGTATCTTCATCTGGGCATGCATGCATATTGCAGAAATCCGAGACAGCAGCACAGCCAGATAATGGGGTTGCTGACCTAGAGTTCAGACGCTATCACATTCCCGCTGACGGATATAATCTGTTGGGTCGCGTGGCTTATATGAAAGAGTACTTCTTTTCCCCGACAGGAGAGCCTGATGTTCCGGAAAGAAAATTTTGGTTCGAGGCATCCGAGGATTTGCTGCAAATCGCTTCCACTCTAGAGGTAATAAGGCACAGATTCAGATCTAGAATTAACATTCTCTTTACCCTCATTTTAAGTTGCCAAATTCTATTTCAAGCGAAAATGAGACAACCCCTCTCGCACATTTCAATGTAGTAAATTCTTTTTGATTCTAACGGTGGTAGTTTTGTTCAAACAGGGAATTGAGCTAAACCAGTGCCTAAACAAAGTTTGCCTCCCTCAAAAGCCTAAGCTAGTTCTTGGCGTCAACGGTACAACTGCCAACTTTTTTGTTGACAATGCAGCTTACAGAGATTTCCTCCACAAAACTTTTGATGTTGCCTCCATTGATATGGAGAGCGCAGCAGTAATCATGGTAATTTTTATTGTCTTGTTACCAGATCGAGTACTTTCATCCTCACTGCTTTTTCTGCTACTTTATTCTTTTGTAAAAGCGTTTCTTCATCAAACTAGAACCAATTTGAAGAATCTTCCCTGCAATTGAATATCTGATCTCAAATTTATCCTCTCAAATTGACCCCAAGAAAACAGTATACACGTAGCAGCAGGAAGATAACTTGTCTTTGGTTATGTGCAGACATCCTTGGCGAATGGCCACTCTGTGATTGCCATCCGCGGACTGGCTAATTTAGCTGGATCAGAAGAAGAAGGAGAGGATTCGAGTGAGAGTTATGATGTTAAGACTTTTTCAGTTTCCAATTTTGTAAAACTAAACAAGCAGGGATAAGTTTAACCCGATGCAGGTAGTTACTACACTTGGAAATGATCCACTGAAGATCCCATCAGCTGGTCCGGTGAATAATTTATGTTCCTAACACAAGAAAATGAATAATTTATGCTATTAATTATCATGAGTTGGTTCCAAGGAATAATTTTTTTATGTTGTTAATAAAGGCATAGAAAAGTAAGGCAAAGTTCAACCATTGACGTACCATTTAACCAAAAAATGATGGCAGCTTTATACGTGCTTCCTACTTTTTTTTTTTTTTTTTTTTTTTGTCGACGAAGTGGGTGTCCGGATCAAGTCCGTAAAGGCGGCCCAACTAATCCCACTCCGGCCCAGTCAGGCGCCCCAACCCGACCTAGCACGTTAGAAGCACGGCGGAACTGATGTTGCTGCGGAGGTTCGACCCCATGACCTGACGGTCCCGAGGAAGAGGCGCCAACCACCAGCCCATTCACGTGGGGGCACATGCTTCCTACTTGCTAAAGCTTGAAAAGGGCTTTTAAATGTTTCAATTACAAGGTCTAAATTTTGGCCTATACCATATATATTTGACCTGAATCAATTACTTTTGACATTAGGGTCTCGAACTGTGAAATGCCTACGACCACCTCTCTGACTTTGACAAATGAAGATTATTTGCTGACTCTGAATAACACTTACACCTCCAAAGAAAAAAAAAAAAAAAAGAAAAGCGACTCATTCTCTAAAATCCAATCAAAAATTGCAAGAAAATTTTATTCCACAGCTGCTGCCAGTGTTAGCTTGATGTAGACAGGTAGTTTTAAGTATTTTAACAATGAAATGCTCACAACCCACCAACTCCTTTACCCCCTTGTCCATCATGGGAGACAAACGATTGAACCATTCAACTTAACAAGAACTTAATCCTGATACATTTGTAGCTGAAGCCTTCACAACTAAATACTTCTAGGACCTTGATTATGTACTCCAACTTGAAAAAGAATGAATGAAAAATTTACACAAGTATTTGTGAACTATATTACAAAGAAATCAAATCTTAAATGAAATAAAAATAATATTTTGGCATGTTTATAGATCAATATTTTGAATATTGTGGGACTGTTGTCCCTTTTGTTTGGATTCTTGTCTAGTTACTGTAAAATTTTTACGATGACATATAAAATCACCGTTTGAAAAAAAAATGTTTATAGATCAATATTTGATAAAGAGTTTTGATTGCAGTCACGGGCATGCGGTATAGGATAACACAGCTATCTTTGTCAATCACTTGATAAGATTGAAATCTTTGGCATTCTTATAATCAAATGCATATTGGTGTGGAAAATTGTCAGCCAAAACCAAGAGTATACGATTATGGTTTTCATTGTCTGCCGTTCACCTTCTTTAGCAGTTTAATTCAGATTGTTCAACATTACTAGGGTTTCTCACTCTTGTTTTTTCACCCTTCCTACGTACGTAGGCCTACAATTGTTGCTGTACATCTAGACAATTTATTAAATCATCTGTTTTTTGATGCCATATGGAAACCAAAGTTGGAGTTTTTTTCTCATGGAAAAACTGAAAAAGTAGGGAAATTATGAAAGGGATTTTCTAATTTAAGTTAAAAATAGTGGAATTAAAAATAAGTGCATACATTTGGTTGGTTCAATTTCATGTAATTTAGTTAATTTTTGTTCAACTAAAATTTGTAAATCGAATTCCTTTTTATTTCTCATACTAAAACATCTCTCTTGACCGCACTTGCATAACTTGTAGTACAACTTATATCTTCAGTCAAAAAAAAAAAAAAAGAGTAAACTTTCAAAAAGCTTAAAAGCATTAATAAGAGGGGTTAGTTTGAAAAGTTACCATTACAATTAGCACAGACTCTGAAGAAAAAAATTAAAAAACTTTTCATTCAATTCTCAGTTTATCCACAATTGGACAGACAATAGTCAAAACAGTTGACACCAATGACTAGTTTGGCAGAAGGAAAAAAAAGAGAGAAAGTTTAAGTTAGAAAAGAAAAGAATAGAATAGCTAGCAAATATTGTAATATTTTTTCATGTTGTTTGGGAGCTTTTGGAAATAAAGAGAATGAAATGATTCTTCTTTATTTGAGAGTGGAGAGAAGTAAAAGGAAAATATTTTACATAAATGCCCTTAAAACTTGAAATTCACATGACATCACAAAATATTATATTAAAATACGAGTAAATCTTATATGCACTAATAATATATACATTATCACCATTAGATCTATGACATATGTATAAATGTTGAAGTTCAAATTCAAATTTTATATAGTTATTATTTATTCAGCTACTAACAGTTTTGGATTGACCATTTTGGACTAACAGTATTTTGTAGTTTGAAAGAAACGTGAGATGCCTCCTTTTATTTCTATTCTTTTCCTACAAATACTCCTAAATGCCAGAAATATTCTACTTTCTTGCTTAGTCCTTTATTTTCTCACCAAATTTGTCCTCCCAAAGGAGCTATTTAAGTAGAAGGATCGAGGAGAAATCACAACATCCAAGTTAAATAATTTCATGTGGTAACTGCACTAGGAAGCTATCACATTTGGATAAGGTTGTTAGGACTGACCCAGGAAATAGACAAACTCAAGTGAGAACAAAATAGGCGGTATAACCGACCATATAATGTTTAGGCGGTAGACACCAGCCATAAAATAATTAGGCGGTAAAATCGACCATATAAAAGGGTTGCGGCAATCCAATAAAGACAAATAATAAAGCAAATAAAAAGACACAGAAGATTTACATGATTCGGTCAAATTGACTAATAAAATCACCTTTAATATTGTTTTAACATATTTAATTTATGTTAAATACAAATTTTACCAGTTTCTCTTTTGTAAAAATATAAGTATATTACTTTTTCAATTTTAGTTGTAAACATTTATGTATTTTATGTAAATGTAGTGATTCAGAATAAAATGCCCATAAATAGCTAGTATTTTGTTGATGTAATGCAAAAAAATCCATAAAGAGCTGATATATTATGGGCGCAATCTTTTTTACTTTCAAATATTTAAAATTTGTTAAATGCAAAATCTACTAGTTTTCCTTTCGTAAAAGTATAAGTATAATACTTTTTCCAATTTAGTTACAAACATATATGTATTTTACATAAATGTAATGATTCAGAATAAAAAACCCATAAATAGTTAGTATTTTGTTGATGTAATGCAAAAAACTCATAAAGAAGTGGTATGCTATGGACAAAAATTTTTTACTTTCACATATTTAAAATTTGTTAAATATAAAATTTACTAGTTTCCCTTTAGTACGTAATACGTTTCCTCTTTGGTGGCCCCACGATGGCTTTGTTTAGTAATTAGTACTGCTTACGTTTCCTCACAAATGTTTTATTCTTAGACCCTTTATATTTATGTTAATTCTGTGACACTCCAACACATTTTGAGCTTATGCATTTTGAGCTTATGCAGCACACAATATTTTCAAACCCTGATTATAGGTCTCCATTTGCTTTTGTACAAATATTCCCTTCTTGGTCCATATATGTCAAGTTACAACGTGCCACCTTCTTTGCCATATGTTTTATTTTCCACACCTGTCTTCAAATATCCGATTACACTGCAGAATTTACCCATACTAGTCCTCTATATGGCTGATCTTTTTGACCTTGATTAGTTGGTCGTAAAAAAGTGACTGCCCGGTACCTGTCGCCTGAAAGGCTGAAAGACTAGTACAAGTTTTAGCCAATCGTTGTTATAGTAGCAGAGTCGCTAAGATGTTACTTTTTTGACCCAGCATTAATAGTAGGGATAATTTTACAAACCTTCCTTGAGGTATATGATAATTACAGATAGTACCCCTTAGGTTTAAATAATTACAAAAACCTCCCTTAAAAAATACTTTGAAACTCACTTTGCTGATGTAAGCAACAATTCCCCATTGAAAATCCTAAAACGCCCTTAGATGATTATCCTCCAGAAAAACAAAACTCCTTAGTAACGTTAAATTCAAAACATTACTCACACATTTTTATAAAATTCTTTAGTAAATTTATTCCTATCCACTAAAAAAATATTGATACCTACTTGGCCAACAAAACTAATTCAATAAGAATCTATGTGTGGAGGAAACTAACATTTTTATTTACTCTAAAATCACCACTATATGGAGTAAGATTGGGTTTAGGTTTTGTGGGTGTCTATGACAAGATAAATAAGTTTATTACTCTTGTTCTTCTTTTTTCATTTTTCACTTTTTTCAAAGGATTTACTAAATTTAATTTACAATACATTAGTTCTCTTCATGGAGACTTTAAATTCAACATTGGATGAAGGTTATTTTTGTCATTTCAGACAATGAGGGGAGATATGTATAATTTTTTAAACTTGGAGGGTACTGTCTGAAATTGTTATAAATCTTAGGGGAGGTTTGTGAAATTATCCCTTAATAGTAATATATGAGCTAAACATGAATCCCGTGTTACTAATAAATTAATCAAATTATTTCAATTTGTTTAGAATCACCTTGGCATCTGTGCAGTACTTTGGCCCCATAGAATGGGAAGGCCGACCACCCCCACCATGATAAGTATGTAGCTGATGTTCAGAGCAAGGAGAACCATACAATGGCTGGAAACCAAGTCAAATGGCTTTTGTTGATGCTAGTTTTCGTTTCCTCGCTTATAGCCGTTTCATCCGAAAGGAAGGCAATCTCTGCTAGTAGGACATTCAAAGAGCTGAATCGCAATGGGCCTTATCTTGGTCTTATTACGGTTTTTGCCCCGGAAGAAGATGCTTTTTTCGCTACTGGTGCCTTCAAGCCTAACCCGAAGCACCCTTATGTGGATTTGTCAGGTACATGATCAATCCCCAATGCATACGCTTCAATATGGTACTAAAAGCGCAAGTGTATCGATTATGATGATTGAAAATGGTGGTTGGTTTCTTACAGGGAGACGGTTTCGCGTAGGGAGCATAGGAGGATCAAAAGTCATTTATGTAAGATGTGGAGAGGGAATGGTAGGTTCATTTCACATCCTTCTGGTCTGGTTATTACAGACAGTTGCTTGTAGTTGTTATGATTTGTGATCAGCAACTATGGTGTCTTAGTTCACTGGCCAATCTAGTTCACAAATCAGAAAGTTGAGTTGATCGGTTAAGT